TCATGTACTGGCCCATATGATGCTGTTGCTTGGGAGCTATGATGCCTGATAGGACTTTCCATGTTGTGGGGAGGCAGGTTATTGGTCGGTAGTTGGATGGTGCTGTTCTCTTGTGTGTGTGTGTGTGTGGGGGTGTCTTTCATGATCAGCACTGTCCTTCCTTGTGTTAGCCAGTCTGGATGAGAGCCTGTTGCTAGCAGTTGGTTCATCTGTGCCGCTAGGCGTTCATGCACTGCTGTTAGTTTCTTTAGCCAGTAGGTGTGGATCATGTCTGGGCCAGGTGCTGTCCAGCTTTTCATGTTCTTAACCTGCTGTTGGATGTCTGCTACTGTGACTGGTTCCTGTTCTGGGAGATTGCTGTGGTCTGCATTCAGGTCCTGCACTGGTGTTATGTGTTTTCTCCCATATGTTCCTCCAGTACTGTTCAGTTTCTGTTGTTGGTGGTTCTGCTGTTACTATATTGTTGCACTGCACTTGGGATTACACCTTGGATGGTTCTTTGGAGAATAAAGCATTTATCTTCTTGGCCTCTGCTTCTCTAGTGTATCTCCTTAATCTCATAGCCAGTACTGTGAGCCTTTGTTTAGCAGTCTCCAGGGCTTCAGATGGAGTCAGGTCCTTGTATTTTCTCAGTAGCCAAATCTTATCGTTAATCTCCACACCCTTCTGTACTTCCACTAGCTAACTAGCTTCTCTCTGAGTTGCCTTGAACTTAGCCTCCAACCTCATTTTCCAGGGGAGGTATGTACTGCTGTTCTTCTTGATCATGTAGTCAAGCATTTCCAGGATTACAGTGGCTGTAGCATATACCAATTCATTGGTTTCAGTTATGTTGGTAGTAGGGATTGTCATGAGGGCTCTATTGGCATTTTCTAGCATACTATCTGATGGTACTTCTCTACTGAGCCTTGATCTTGTGGGTTGACTGTAGCTAGTTTATCCATGATCTTATACCTCATATCCACTGCTGTGATCTGTAATGGAGGGGGTGGCAGTGATGTTCCAGCTTCAGGTGTTGTCTATACATCCAGTTGTTCTTCCAGGTCTTCTTAAGTCTGGGATATAATGTATAGTTGTTCTGTCTCAAGTTGTGAGAGCAGATTCCTCTTCACTATGTTGAAGCGCTGGGTAACTAGCTGTTTCTCAGTTAGTGTGGATGTAGGTCTTCTGTCCATCAATAGTTCCCTCATATGTTTCATATATCCCCTCTCATTAGGTCTGCTGTTGTAGTAGCATTTCATCACTTCCAGTTTCTCTTGTCTCATCCATCTATGATTTGTTCCAGTATGAACAGACAACTTGTGATAAAAATATTTTCTCCCAAATCATATAAATATTCTTATGTCAAACATCTTTATCAATGCATGTCTTCCTGAAGTAGATTTCTATAGGTAAAATCATACTCCCATTATCTGGAATATTTGTATAGTGACTTCTTTTTTCAACTTTTTCTCTTTTTTTTTTTTTTTTTGGGTCACTTTTCAGAAGTCTATCTTGGTATCACACAAGGAATTTATGACTCTAACATCATTTTATTGTCTTTTCTTCATCCTGATGTTTACTGACATAGCATCACCAGATTAGATACCATGTCTGAGGGCAAGAAATATAGGATGATTTCTATTTCTTTTCTATTCAAGTAGTTGTTAGGATTCTTCCCAGAATCCTTTTTATGTTATTTGCTAGTGATTGTTTTATTTTTTGCTTGTTTGCTTTTTTTCTTGGAGCTTTCCCTTAGACACTGATTTATGAATGTATGCAGGAGTAATGAGGGGCCTGCTTTGGCTCAGTAGTATGATTTTGTGTGCTTGCAACAGCTAAGCTGATGTATAATTACCATGACTCCAAAGGTACCAGCATATTATGTGTCGATTTTACAGTCTGGGGAAAGAAATCTGGGCAATCCCTCATGCTTGGTCCCAATTTCAATCTCTCTGCTTCCTAAAAAAAAGGAAAGGAAGGAGAATCACAGTTGGTGCTTTAAATCATTGTTATTGTGTTAAATTTAATGCTATATGATAGAATAAAATAACAAGTGTAGGAACAAAGAAATTCATGAGTAGTTAGATATATTATTTGTTAGTAACATTTTGAGTACAACATTCTGTTATGATTCAGTAGATTATTTCATACCTTAGTTCAGTGCTTGCAGACCCATATTTAACATTATTGTTATTATTCAATAAACTTTAATGAATCAAACTGTACTTCATGGATCATTCCAATGTTTTCGAAGCCTGTTTTTCCTATTGCTTTTTCTCAGAAATTCCTATGTAAGATTGATGCTTGACTTTTTGACATAGAAAACCAAAAGCTAGTATTTTAGGCAACATGGATCTGCAAGTAAAGCTTGTAGATAAAAGATATAGATAGATGTAGATGTAGATGTAGATGTAGATGTAGATGTAGATGTAGATGTAGATGTAGATGTAGATGTAGATGTAGATATAGATCAGAAAGCATAAATGTACTGTATTTGCACACACATATTAACTCTAGACCGGATCACTCTTCCCTTAAAGGAACTGGTCTGCAACCAGTGGATCCTTATGCATTCATGGCTCTTGCTGAACAACAGGTGGAAGCTGTGTCCAGAAGAGCCTTTGCCCAGCTGAAGTTGATGTGCTAGTTGCAAACATATTTGGACTAGGGTGCCTTGGCAACAGTGACTCAAGCACATGTCACCACATGCCTAAATTTCTGTAACACACTCTATTTGGGTCTGCCTTGGGTCTGTCTGAAAATGATTTGGAAGTTTCAAATGGTATAAAATGTAGTGGACAGGTTACTAATAGGTAGAATTGCTATTTTAGTGTTATACCTATCCTTTAGTCATTGCAATGGTTGCCAATAAGCTTCTGGGTCCATTTCAAAATCCTGGTTTTGAAATTGAAAGCCTATATGACTTGGTTCCACAGTACCTTAGAAACTATCTTCTCTAGATGAAATCTGCCTGGTTCACCTTCTCATGCAAGAAGCAGTTGCTGGGGATCTTAGCCCTGCATGAATACTAAGACGTGTGAGCCCAAAGGCAGTTCTTCTCTGGGGTGGCCTTCATGCTTGGAATACTTTCCCTTCATGGTTCACCAGGCACCCTCCCACAACTTAGCTATAATAATTATTTCTGAGTAGCCATTCAGGTTTTAGATAGTTGAGTGTTTGGACAACCATAGTATTTTTTCTTCTGTTGGTGTTTTTACTTCTCACTTGATTTGAACTATGAACCAGAAGTCTGACCAAACGGTGCAGTAAAAAAAATACTATAAATAACTAAATACAAATAATTAGTTGATTGTAACATTTATTTCCCTATCAGAGCATTATGTGGAGATTACAGATCTACTCAATGGTGGCTTCTGTGATATAAGAGTTTCCAACTGTAGCAAAATCCAAGTACATGGACTCGGCTTTAACAACTCTTCTGATCTTCACTGTGAAGTCACCAGACTGACTGTAAGTACTTTAATATGAGAGCATGAACAGAATGAAATTCATCAGAAAGCTTCTTGAATTCAATAAACTCTGAGAGAAGGACAGTCATGACTGACAAAATATTCAGTTTCAAGAACATTTACCCAGGTAATTGGATAGTTATCAAATAGAAAGATTAATTTTTGCCAAATAAATCCTTCTGAATGGCAAGGGGGCAGGGGTGGGTGAGCAGAGTCTTCTTATTTTGTCTAGGAAGAAGACCAACAGTGAATGTGTGCAAGTACAGTCAGTTGCAGGCATCAACTGTACATCTCTGAAGATCAGCTGGTAGATTACCAGTTATTTGGGAGAGGCTGTTGAATTAAACTTTTTAAAATATAATTCTTAATCAGGACTTCTGTTTCTTTCCTTTCCTTTCCAAGTTATTTATTCCCTTCTCCTCATCTCTATCCAATTTGGTTCCATTTTTTTCTTTCTCTTCCCTTTCCAGGTTACCTCTTATTTTTTCCCTCTTGCTCCATTTCTACCCTTCCTTTCCTTTCCCTTCCCTTCCCTAGCTTCTGTGTAGAAGCAAGATGTGTATTCTGTATATACTTGTACGAGAGTGGTCTAAGTGTGACAGAATATATTTGATATATTCAGATGGGGGATCAGAATTTGATAAATGGAATACCTTATTTTAAGGCAATTCAGTTTTATTTATAATTATTAATTCAGTTAACGTATATGTTTTATTTTGACCCCGTTATGTTTGTTGGGACAGGGAATCTATATCCAGGATTAGTTTTGGCAACCTTAGGTTGATAAAGTATGAAAACTGGGCAATACATAGGACTTTTTAAGTGTTTTTAATTTTTCTTACCTATTCTTCCTTGGGTGGTATGGTAGGGAATCATCTTAAATCCAGAGTTATTTTCTGTTGGGGTAAATAGGTTTATAATATGTTTTTGAAAGTAAAGTCACATATTAAGTGGTTTCCCACCCCCCACCTCCAGTCCTATTCCCAAACACTGTACAAACCAAGAATTCATGCATTTTATGAATAGAAACAATGGAAGTAGATACATAACATCTAAGTGATTCCTTTTTATATATTCTGGCCCAAGTTATTCTAGTTAACAGTATGTTGATCAAGAAAAATCTGGTCAGTCTTAGTGCTTTAGGTGTTCATATACTATTTTACTACATGCAATTTCTCTGGATTTTTTTTTTTTAAGGCCTGTAAACCATCATTGTTATCATATGTATTTTTAAATGTATTTTACATAATTCAAATATCTTTCTATTTAACTTACACAATTACTCCATAATTTTTATGTACCCTTTGTATTTATTCTACACATTTTCCTCCAGTAGGTTAAATAAAGAATGCATAAAGTTCAAGATACATGCTGATTTTTATTAAACTTTTCAAAATGTATGTTGATTTTTATAAACTTTTCTAGATGACAATACTTGGCAGTAAACTCCACTAATTACTGCTGACGTGCCATGGTGGAATTTACTCTAGCGGATGACGGTAATTTGGGCTAAAAGAAATCTGTGATGGATTTCTTTTACATTCCTTGTTCTATTGGTCGGCTTATCGTCTTGCATAGATATGTATAGATTATACGATTATTGGGTCTAAAAGTAAAAGGTTCTCTTTCTCCTATGTACATTTTATACAGTTGGTGTAGAGCACTTCAGAGATTAATTTATAAGTGAATCAAAACCATCCAGCGTCTTCCATTTTTCTGTGGGCTTTTATGCCACTTCTACTCTAGTTCACTGAAGCCTGAAATCACAGTATTATTACTTCTCAATTTTGTGCATCTGGAATCTATACGCATGACCGTATTTCCAAACACACTTGAATTTTAAGTGCCACAGCTAACTAACCAAGTTTCTTGATACACAGCTGTAGTCTTCAGCTGAACTGAAGGATTATTAATATTATTATACATCATATCAGATAATATAAAGTTTTCTAATGCTGAGTAAAAATAAATCTGTGGCTAAGAAGTATATGAATGGGAGAGCTTTTCAGTCATACTGTTTTAAAACTACATAAATTTTAACATGAACTTTCTCACTGAAGCTAAAAGGATGCAAAATATTCCATGAAGCATCAGTGGAAACTAGAGTGTATCCTCCTGGATTACAAACAAAATACAAAATATTTATTTGGCATAGCTGTAAATATCATTGCCCTGATTCATACATTTCACATGGGGCATGGTTGGATCCCCATGTATTCAAAGGTCAAAAACACTTAGAGTTACATTAATGTAATCAACACCAGCAATTGTTTGGGGATGCTGCTAGTAGATACGACTGTTTGCCCCACAATAACATACTTTCAAATACTATAGGATGGAATCAAGCCATAAGGGTCTAACAAATAATCTCAAAACATATTAATCAAGCTTAGGAAAAAAAAAAATAGAACATTTCCACCAGTTGTTATCCAGCATATATGACATGGGATACAGCTCCCCAAACCATGACGACAGAGAAAACCTGAAAGGATAATCTTGTCTTAAAGAATGACAGCTCTGTTTTTTTCCTAAACATCCATTCTATTTTGAAGATTTGATGCTACATGTTTAATTTCTGAGGAAGGGTTGCTATAAAATTCCGGAGGTATTATTTGAGTGAAAGTTATTAACAAAAGAGAAGACAGAGGGCTTCTATAGTACAGTTTTTCCAACCTAAAACTATTTGGACAGCAGTTCCCAACACCTCTCGAGACATTATGCATAAAGTTAGTTTAACAATCTTCCCATTTTTCTGCCGACTTATCCTGGGATACAGCCTATGTTATAATGGTAAGGCTGTGCAGAAATCAGGATCCCAAGGGCGAACTGTAATTGGAGGAGTGTGAGCACGGATGTAGCAGCTCTTAGGAGCGCATGGGTCTTTTCCTAGGCATACATGGCTGCTCAGTAACGTAGCACAATCCCTGGAAAAGACCAGTCTGACAGGTGTTATGCACGTACCCATACACACTATTTTCCCCTTCAAAGATAGATGCCTTCATAGCCGTAATAAATAGAAATAGGCTACGGTGGTGTTTTTGAATCTATTCCAAAGCAGCCATAAAACTACCAAAATTAACTGCCCAGAGTCACTCCACAGTGAGATGGGTGGTGACAAATTTGAAATATAAATAAATAAATAAAACAAACAAACCTTGGAGCATCAACCATCCAAACTGCTGCTAGTACAGACCTAGTGAAATGACTTGCTGAATATAATTTCCTTCTCTATGTGTTATTCATATCTTCTGGACAGTGCAATACAAAAAAGAGTGAGGAATCCATAGCAGCACAATTTCAGATATTTTTGGATGAACCAAATTATTTGGATTCTTTTTCAGTCATGGTTCCAAATGGGATATGGGATTCAGGCTGTTTGAGTTAACTTAGTGGATGGCCAATACCTAGAAATACAGTAGGTCAGAATTTTCTTCATCCCACAGACAGCTCTTGTACAATGAGTGATGATACCTTACTGGATTTTTATTTATTTATTTATATTTCAAATTTGACACCACCCATCTCACTGCAGAGTGATTCCGGGCGGTATACAACAAAAGAACAAATTTTAATTAAAATAGAAT